GTCTTGCAGTTGGTCCATGGAAACCATTGGGATTTGAGCACTTGTGGTCCATGGGAAGATATTGCATTTCATGGGGTCCAATTGCATTTGTGACTTGGAAGATGACCTCTTCACGAACGAACGCTTGAGATGATAACATTCTGGAAAAATGTCAATGAAATTCGGCAAGTCATTGAGCTGCATGTTTTCCCATGAACCAAGTATGACCTCTTGATGCAAAACCAGCTCTTCATTTTCATGTTGGTTTTTGCCAAATATGTATTTCAGCTTAGCACAATCTTCTATAGTGACAGATTTTAGTACCGAAACGTCTCGAGCAAAAAGGACCGGAAGTATAAATTGCAATTCGGGACAATCTGTGATGTAAAGAGTTTTCAATTTTGGAAACATTGAGGCATGGCTCTTTCTTATCTTGTTATCATTATCAACATCTGCTATTATGTTTTTCAGTTTCTCACAGTCATGTATTTCCAATTCCTCCAATAGCTCTAGGCTTTGAGAAGTCCACAGTTGAAATAGGGTTACCAGCTTCGGGCAACCCTTCAGTTTGATGGTCTTGAGATTGGAGAGGTTTAGCTTGCTCTTAAACAATATGCTTCCCAAAACTTTACAGAATTTGATACTTAGCTTCTCTAAACTCTTCAGAAAGTCAGGGGGAAGGGGACCATTGCATAGTTCTTCCAAGTTTTCCATTGCTTTAAGTTTTAGTACAGCCAACTTGCAGAAGACGTTTTGTTTCGGAGAATTAATATGCCGACTGTCAATTAGACACTGTAATTTTGAACAAGAATCCAAATACAGCTCCACTAGGTCATTCATACCTTCATCAACAATCTCAGGTATGAGATTACTCCACCCCAGCTTAATTTTCCCTAGCTTAAGAATCTCTGTTGTTTGCACCAGATACTTGAATGTTTCTTCAGAGAAATAAGTATCAATACATGAAACATCCACATATTTTTTTGATATTGAATCAGATATTGTTGCAAAACCAGACACTTCACTTATATAATACCTTTGCAATGCAGGCAAGGTCATTTTCTTATCATGAATGGCTGAGCTGTCAACCTCGAATCCAATGAAATACAATTCTTCAAGTGACGAGCACCTTTCAATCACTTCAAATGCATTATTCTTTTCAATTTCACACTGACACAAGTGTAGCAATCTAAGTCTCTCCAGCTGCGCAATTTCACGTGGCAATTCAACCATCACACAACCACCCAAATCAAGAGCCTCAAGGCTTTGTAGTTTTCCCAGAATAGACATGTCACCTAAGCTCAAACCAGCAAGGAATAGAGATCGAATATTCGTCAATGACTCGATTGACTGTGGCAATGATAGACGCGGACTACTCCAATCCTCAGACTCAAATCCTAAAGCCAAAACTCGAAGCTTTGTCATATGTTCGAAGAATGAATTTGGCATTTCCATTGAGTTATCTCCAAAAATACATCTGATCATAAGAATCTCAAGTTCGGAACCATCAAACCTATAGGAAAACACCTCCTTGTCGTTGCCTTCTAATAACAAATATTTCATACCCTTCTCCCTTTCAACCAATGACTTTTGATGTTTGTCAGACAGATTCACTGCTCGAATATCTTTGTTAACCTTCAATAAGGCCACTTCACGAACCAAGTCATGCATTTTCACACATCCAATCTCAGCCTTCAACAATAAACAAGAATCTATGAGTTCATTTTTGGCAACTTCTACTTTGGTTCGAACATCATCGTACTTGTCGTAAACTTCCCCAAAAAGACCCGCCCCTATGCCAAATCTAGCTAAAATTTCAGTAGGAAGCTCTGCATCTTCTGGAAAAAGAGAACATAAGAGGAACAATTTCTTAGCTTCTTCATTATTCATGTGCTCATAGCTATACCACAAACATTTATAAATTTCACTCAAATCTTTATTAACACCATACATGGGCTTTTGCAAGTATATTACTGCTGCATTCCACTGTTCCTGACGTCGTTCGCCCTTTAAACGACCAGCAATAATAGCAATTGCAACGGGTAATCCTTTGCATTCTTTGACGATTTCTCGTCCCTTATCCACCAAACTTTTAGATGTTCTACTGCTTATACGAGCATGCTTTTCAAACAGGGTCCATGACTCATCCTCTGTTAAGAGCAGCAGTTCAAGGATCTTCTCACATCCCAATAAGCGACATGCACCTAGATCACGTGTGGTTAGAAGAACTTTGCAACCCTTACGATCATCGCTTTTTGGAATCCCTATTTTTTCAAATTTGAAAGGCTCTGAAGTATTTTCCCATACATCATCCAATATTAGAAGAATTTTCTCACCATTGTTTAATCTCTTCCTCAGCAATCCGCGTCGCTCTGATTCGCTTTTATCCTTCAATTCCAATCCCAAGGGTCCAGCAATATCATCTTGAATCTTTCTTATGTTAGGAGTATATGACACTGTAGTATCGATGACATGATCAAATTGTTCTGATTGCTTAAGTTCCTGACCCACTTTTATTGCCAATGTTGTTTTGCCACTGCCAGCCATCCCATGCAATCCAGTAATATAGTTGTTGTCATCTGCCAGTGCAACCAAAAGTTCTTTGTATATTAACTCTCTGCTTTTAAAATAAATGTAATCTTGGGAAGAATGGTATTCAACACCCGGAAGATGAGGTGGGAGCCCTTTAGTATCCAAGTTTTCTTGTAAGAGTCCTGTAATCTCCTTCGTCTTATTGGCCAGTTCCTTTCCCCTATTATATCGCATTATGCAATCAGGACACCACCCAAAAAAACATGTATTTTTTGTTTTAGTGTCCTCTTGAATGAGCTCACTAGCTCGCTTTTCCCAAGAAGTGACATCAGTTGGAGTATCTTGTGCGCTTCTTTTAAGTTGATCAACACGTTGCTCCACAGCCTCCGCTTTTGCTTTCAATGTTTCTTTTTTCTTTTCAAAGTCTTCAGCAATTGATGTGAAACAACATAGATATCGTGCTTCTCCAATTGTCCAGTCCATCAATTTCTCCAGACATATCTTAGCACATTCATTCGGGATATCCGCCATCTAAATCAACATCATTAGATGAAAGTTAGTCATAAATCTTTAACACAACCTCCTATAGATATTATCCAACTGCATGTATAAAATTATGAGAGCTATACCATCAAACCAAAAAATTGAATAAAATAACATCTTCACCACAATGGATGGATTATAATATTAATATATTTTAACCTAAATGTTTTAACAGAGAAAGTTTCATAAATGATCTTTTTAACTTCTAAACATTTAAAATTTTATCTTTATGATATCTTGATATTATAGGTTGTGTGTGGATTCAAAATTTAAATATTTTATATGGAGATGTTAAGTATTTCCAAATATTTTGTATTAAAATGAAAAATATAAAGAAAAAAAAATAATTATAGACTTGCACATATAGTTCTTTAGATAAAAAACTTCCGTCTCACTAATTGTTTATATAGATATTTAAATCATATGAGAACTATATTTAAAATATTTATATTATAGAATTAAATAGTTTGAAACAAGGATAACGATTTAAGAGCTAAGCCAGCAAAAATAATGAAAACGTAGAAATTAAATAATATAGATCTCTATCATTAGAGTTAATGGCAGAGGATATGAATAGTTTACTAGAGATAACATATGATAGATCCTTGGTCTCATCATAATAGTAATACAAAAACATCACACCTCTCTTGTTCTAACTTATGACAATTTGCCAGGTGCATTAGTTATTCTACACTCACTTCATTTGAATTATGTTAAAGTTATCACAAAACTATTTTCTTAACTACTTGGTCCTTGTAACACCCCGTTCTAGAACCGGTTTGTTAACATCGCATTATGATATTAAGCGCAGTTACAATCACATGGGTTCAATTAAAATCCGGATAAATTTTTCATTTTAAAACATACCGAATTTATAATACCCAATTCCGTGATCATAACCGTATTACCTTGCGGAATCATATCAATTAAGCTTAACATCATGTTCTTATTCCATTTTTAAATCATTAATTTACTTCTTATTTAGTTCACATCTTCTACTATATTGTAGGTTTCTTCATTAGCTACCTGTGTCTTCAAACCGTGCTCAAATCGAGGCACTGTAGCCCAAGTTAGGACAATTTGGAGCAACACAAGAGAGTGTTGGTCACAGGCCCAGCGCGCTTCAGCGCGCTACCGGGCGCTCAAGCGCGCGCTATCGGGCGCTAAAGCCTCCATCTGGGCGCTTAAGCGCACGGAGGCAGTAAGCATCAGGCATTCTAGTGTGGATGGGCGCTTAAGCGCGCAACAGGGCGCTCAGGCGCGCTATCCTGGGCGCTCAAGCTCCCACGGGGGCGTTTTAGCGCGCAGAGACAGAAGCATCTCCTCCTTCAGTGGCGAAGGGCGCTTAAGCGCGGACCAGGGCGCTCAAGCGCGCAACCCTGGGCGCTTAAGCCCCACCCTGGGCGCTAAAACACGAGGGGGCAGTAAGCCACCCAACTTTCTGCAGCAAGGGGCGCTTAAGCGCACGCCAGGGCGCTCCAGCGCGCAATCCTGGGCGCTTAAGCCCCCACTTGGGCGCTCCAGCGCGAGGAGGCAGAATGCATTGGCACTCGCAGGGGCAGCAGGGCGCTTGGGCGCGCTCCTGGGCGCTTAAGCGCGCTGCCAGGGAATTCCAATTCCCACATTTCTCAAGTCCAAGCCTAGGGGAAAATGCATCCCCATTACAAACCCCAAATGTCCATGCCCCAAAACTAAATCCTAGCACTCATCCAACCTCTCCTCATGAGATTTAACTAGAATTTGGGCAGCATGACCTTTGTTTTCTCATCGTTTACCAGTTTAAACGAAGAGGGTACCTAATTGATTTTCAGCCCAACCAATTCAACAACTCAATACATAACAAGCATGCATATATTGAATTCCAAGTAGGCATCATTTACATTACACATCCTTTACAAATCATAGAACTTAGCTTACAAAACACTATGATCATTCCCTTGGCTCCCATCAACAAAAGGTGTAACCAAAGGCATGAGCATAGGCTAAGTTCATCCAATGAATCAAGATATACAAATGATCATGGGCTTTCAAAATAAAATCCTATACATGTCAACTACAAAAGGCATGCATAAACTCAAAGAAGTGCCATATTTCATGCATAATCTAGGTATGGCCACTTGCCACCAGAGGCTCCTGCAGCATCCTTACCTGAAAGGGGGTCCCCACAACACGGGGTGAGATATACGAATATATCCAGTAAACCAGGGGTCCTTGGAGCATCTCTCCACCCCACAGTTCCATATCAGTGTAATAGCAATAACAATAATAATGCAGTAAATACATATCTATGCAAAGTGCAATACATCTCCAGGAGAAATCCCTCGAGCTCTCAAGCTGTCCTAAGGAAACTCAGATGCAAATAGTCCTACTGGCCAGCTAACTACCAAGTATGATTTACGCATCGTCATGCCACATACCAACATAGGGAAACACCATCCTATGCCACACCAAATGCATACACATACGTATAACAAAGCATTACACTATTTTATTGCATTTATATACACAATCACAACCTCCACCCTTTCAGGGCTTGGTAGAACAGTCAAGGGAATTACACCCAAGGTCCGAAGGCTTACCTCAATGCTTCAGTCAACCTTTGTTCTTCACCAACAGTTTCAGCAATCAACTTTTACAAACATACACCAATTCCAATGAGCTATTCAAGCTCCATAGCTTGCTCCAATGGTTGATCACTCACGGTTGGTCCAAATGTCTCAATCCTAGACATCACAAGGATCCAATCAATCATTCAACTCACTAATTGTTCAACATGCTAGAATACTAACCAATCCAAGCATGAATTTTCCAATATTATGAACAATTATCAAATGACTATCTAGGCTCATTTCCACCGATTAAATGACATTCCTAGCATTTTCCATAACATGCTCTAAGCTCCATTCTTCCTAGAACATAGCTAATTCAACTACATTTCATAAAAATCCCAATTTACTATTCACAAACCCTAACTCATGCAAATTTCAAGGAATCATGAGGTTCAAGGGTTAGAATCTTACCACCAATGGTCACACAACCAAGGATTGATGGCTCCTCAAGCTTCAATGGAGGTAGAAACTCTCAAAACCCCAATTTTCACCAAAGGGCCGAATTTTTGAGAGCCAATATCCCTCTCCACAATGCTCCCCACTCAAAACAAAGTTAGGATTATGAAAGAGGGGAAGATTCTAAGTGATTTAGGCTTTTGAATCGCTCCAATCGGTTGAAAATCACACAACCTAGGTTTTCTTTCTCTCTCTCCCTCCCTTCCTCTTCTCTTCTCTTCTTTCTGGGCGTCGACGGGCTGGGTGGGAAATGAGGGTCATTTGGTGACTTAAGTCACTTAACATAGGTCAAGTGGCTCTAAGCGAGTATTGGTTCGTCTATCTATTTAACTCCAATAATTACCAAACTTTACCCAAAAGTCTGGAATATTATTCTAGGAATATTACTATTTTTATTTTTATATTTTGGGTACTTTTGACAGTACCCATTTATACCCCTTAATTTTCACTGAGTACACTTTTTAACTCCAAAGTGACTCAGATTCATTTTATTAAGCCTCATACTTAATTTCACCCAGTAAAACATGTTTAATTAATTAATTACACTTGATTTCCTAATTAATTAATATGGGCTATTATAGTCACCCCACCTTTTAGCGATTTTGTCCGCAAAATCAAGAACGTACCTGTCCTTAAACTCAGGATATTGCCGGAGAAGCTCATCTTCCCGCTCCCAAGTGGACTCTTCAGGCGACCTTCCTTCCCACTGGACTTTCACCATAGGAATAGATTTATTTCTCAGCTTCTTCTCATCTCTTTCGAGTATCTTCAGTGGTCCAATAGGAGTCTTCAAATTCTCCCGGATTTCAACATTATCAGGTTGAACCACATGAGAAGGATCAGCTACATATTTCCTCAGCTGAGAAACATGAAACACATCATGCAAATTTGCCAATTGCGGAGGTAAGGCAAGCTGGTAGGCAACCGGTCCCACCCTACGGAGAATCTGGTAGGGTCCAATAAATCTCGGACTCAGCTTCCTCACTCCAAGGGCTCGTCCCACACCCGTAACCGGTGACAGCTTCAGGAACACATGATCTCCCTCCTCAAACTCTAGAGGTCGATGCTTGAGATCATAGTAACTTTTCTGACGATCCTGAGCCTTTTTCAGACGATCCCTAATCATTTTAATCTGCTCAGTAGTCTCCTGAACAAAATCCAATCCAAACCGCTCTGTGTCTCCAACCTCTGACCAACAAGTAGGTGTCCTACACCTGCGACCATACAAGGCCTCGTAGGGAGCCATACCCAGACTAGTATGGAAACTATTATTATACGAAAACTCAACCAGTGGGAGATATCGATCCCATGCAGTACCCTGCTCCAGGGTGCAAGCCCTCAGCATATCCTCCAACGTCTGAATGGTCCTCTCAGTCTGACCATCCGTCTGTGGGTGATAAGCAGTGCTCAGTCTCAACTGAGTGCCAAGAGCCTCCTGCAATGCTCCCCAGAAGCGAGAAGTGAACTTCGGGTCCCGATCACTAACAATGCTTTCAGGCACCCCATGAAGCCTCACAATCTCCTTCACATAGAGCCTAGCCAATCTCTCCGCAGAGAAATCTACCCGAACTGGCAAGAAGTGTGCGGATTTTGTCAATCTATCCACAATCACCCATATAGAATCATAACTAGCCTGTGTTCGCGGCAATCCCACTACGAAATCCATGGAGATACTCTCCCATTTCCATTCAGGAACATCCAGAGGTTGTAACATACCAGAAGGCTTTTGATGCTCAATCTTTACCTTCTGACAAATGAGACACTTAGAGACAAATTCGGCAATATCTTTCTTCATACCAGGCCACCAGAAATTCATCTTTAGGTCCTGATACATCTTTGTAGCTCCCGGATGAACTGTAAAATGACCTTTATGAGCCTCTGCCATCACTTCTTCCGCCAACTGCCTAGGTACAACTACACGACCCTGATATAATAGTATACCCTCATCATTGCAGGATACACCACTCTGACCTTTTAGTCGTCTAGCACTTTCATTTTGCAGCTGGGCTTCTTTGATTCTGGTCATCAGTTCATTCTCAATGCTCGTGATTTCAAAGCCGCAAATTTTACATGGAAAGATTTTAGATAATTGAATATCTCTGAACCTCTCTATCACATCATAATCTCTAATCATCATGCTTGATATGCTCACAGATTTACGGCTCAGTGCATCAGCTACAACATTAGCCTTGCCAGGATGATATTTCAATTCAAAATCATAGTCTTTTAGGAACTCGGTCCACCGTCGTTGTCTCATATTCATCTCCTTTTGATCAAACAAGTATTTCAAACTCTTGTGATCGCTGAATATTGCAAATTGCATTCCATACAAGAAATGCCTCCACTGCTTCAACCCAAAAAAAATTGCAGCAAGCTCAAGGTCATGGGTCGGATAATTTTCTTCGTGCGGTTTCAATTGCCTCGATGCATAAGCTACCACTCGCCTATCTTGCATCAGTACA